TTCCTGCCCAGGCAGGGGGTTGGACTAGAAGACCTCCAAGGTCCCTTCCAACTCTGCTATTGTATTATTGTATTTTTCTGCAAATTATTTTTGTTTAATTTGTATGCCATCTTTATTATTTTTACAAATAATTCAAGATGGCAAGCGTATCTAACACACCCCGCCTCCTTCTATTTATCCCACAACCGCAACCTTTGAGATGGGTTGGGACAGAGGTGCTATGCTGCCAGTTTGCACCGGTTTGGGCGAACCGGTAGTGGCAGCGGCGCACGGCTCCGCCCACCCACCCAGACATCATCAAGGACCTTCTGTGCGCGCTCCCGTTACCAACCCGGTAGTGAAGAAAATAGAATACCATTATTGATTTGGGCTGAGAGAGAGAGAGAGAGAGAGCTTAAATTTGGAGAAATAGGCAGTGCAAAATATTACTGAGCTTTGATCTGAATACTGTTAGCATGAACGAGGCAGTTTTGCTTAAAAATGCAGAGGCAAAGCAATATTGCAATTAGCATCCCATGGCAGTCCTTCGACCAATTAGGCTGCCTCTTTAAGCCGTTTTGATAAAGATCGGAAATAACGGCAAAGGTATTTAGGGTTTCACTTTAGTATGAAAACCTAGTTGCCGAGGGGTTTAAATCACCACATTTGAACCGTGTTTTTGGGGATTTTGAGAAACTTGGCTGGTTTCTAGAACTCTGCAATGCATCAAATTCAAAGGAACAAAGGTGTTTTGGAGAACAAAGGAGCACAATTGTGGCTTTGGTCTGCAAAACCTCAAAACTGTACCTTTCCCCTGGATTGTGTGGTTGGGACAATCCATCTGCTATTTTGTTTTAAGGTGTTTTAGGTAAAGGTTAGGTGTTGTGGCCCAGCAGGAGCCGTTGGAGCTGCCACCAGACTCCGACAGCGAGGGGCCCTATGGGTCGGCTCTGGAGGATGTGGAGGACCCTGGATAGGGTTCCGACTCCGAGCAGGGCACAGAGAGGCTGGTTGGCCACCAGGAGGCACCTGAGCCTTGGACCAGTGGGGAGGAGACAAGGGAGAGTGATCCGGACGCCAGCAGTGAGTTGTTCCTGGATGGCCCGCACCGAAGACCTAATAGGCATCAGGAACAGTTGCGCAAGTACAGGAAGTAATTGCACTCAGCTGGTGGTCATTAGACTCCTCTCCAGACTATAAAAAGGACTGGTTGTGCACACACCCCTCTTGCAGAAGTCAATGCAGGAATGAATGTTGGAGAACATGATTGTGAGCTTGGCAGGCTGGATTGCTGCCACGGCTTATCTGTGCTGGATTGCTGCCA